TGTGTGTGTGTGTGTAATTACAATGCTGATATTCTCGCACGTGGAAGACGCAACAAGAGCTCTGATGGGTCCGTTGGTACAGCTGTGGTGGTTGTGGCGGCATAACTGTGGTGGAGCTCACTCTCCTCCTTGACTTACTGGTCCAGTGAAGATGATGGGAAGGCGCGGGGAAGGCGCGGGCCGGGCGGGGAAGGCGTGGGTCGGGCGGGGAAGGCGCGGGTCGGGCGGGGAAGGCGTGGGTCGGGCGGGGAAGGCGCGGGTCGGGCGGGGAAGGCGCGGGTCGGGCGGGGAAGGCGCGGGTCGGGCGGGGAAGGGGCGGGTCGGGCGGGGAAGGCGCGGGTCGGGCGGGGAAGGCGCGGGTCGGGCGGGGAAGGCGCGGGTAGGGCGGGGAAGGCGCGGGTCGGGCGGGGAAGGCGCGGGTCGGGCGGGGAAGGCGCGGGTCGGGCGGTGAAGGGGTTCAACAGGCGCTCAACTCGGCCTTCTTGTTGCTGGTGGAGCTGCGAGCAGTGAGGGCGGGCGTGGTGGCTGGCACATCTGCCCTCCGCCGCCCTCACACTGTACAGGTCGAGCCCCTCTCCCTGGGCTCTGCACCTGGAAGAAGAGCCTCTATGAAGAGAGACACACGGGCCAGACTCCAGAATTAACTGTTCTGCAAGACAAGAGCATCCAACCCACCCGACCTTGCCTTAGTGCGTGCGTCAGCCCTCGCACACGCGCGCGCTCAAGCACACAACAGAGAAACAATGAAACATGTAATATACAATAAAGAGTTTCCCAGAGATGAATTAAGGGTGCGCCTAATAGAACTGTAAGGCGATATGATCAGTGAAGTGAAGACTAAGATCCTCTTAGTCTGACTAATTGTCAAGATGCGCAAGTCAGTCTGACTCGCCTGGCGTTTCGCAAGTGCTGTGTCCTGGGTTCGTATCCTGCCCGAGGAGGATTTACTTGGTGCGAATCCTTAACTGTAATTCTTGTACAGGAATCCTTCCTGTACAAGAATGTAAGAACTTTTGTACATATAAAAAATAACAAAATAAAAATAGTGGGCTAAGTCGTCGGCTTACAACCAATCCCGGGATTCAATTCCCGCGGCACGACAGAAGGCAGACGCGCGCGCGAACACCCACACAATTGATATGGTAGATAAAGACAGGCTATCTAACTCAAGGGGCACACACACTATGGGACACGGGTGGAAATTGAGTGCCCAAATGAGCAACAGAGACATTTAGTGTCAGAGCAGTTGACAAATGGAATGTATTAGGAGGTGATGTGGTAGAGGCAGACTCCATACACAGTTTCAAGTGTAGATAGAATAGAGATAGGAAAGAGTTCAATAGACTCAGGAACCTGTACATCAGTTGATAGACAGTTGAGAGGCGGGAACCAAAGAGCCAGAGTTCAACCCCCGCGAGCACAACTAGATGAGTACACAACAAGACTAGATAATCTCGTCACATGGGGACGTTAGTACATCAGTAAAGAAGGCGAATAATTTAAACTTCAGCACTTGTACTAATGTATAAATAGTCCAAGGTGGTGGAGGTGTGGTGGTGGTGGTGGTGGAGGTGTGGTGGTGGTGGTGGTGGACGCTGGTACAGATGCACCGCCCAAAGAGCCGCGAAGGTGGGTGAGCGCCAAGGACCTCTCTGACGCAAGCCACGTAGGTGTTGGGTGTGGCCGGATGGTCCTGTGGCCCCGGGGGCCCTGGAGGCTCGTGTCGGGGGCCCGATGGCTCCTCTCATGGTCCCAGGGCTCAGGAGAGGGCTCCTGTATGGTGCTGTGGTGCTGGTGGCCCTAGAGATGCCGCAGTATGACCCCGATGGCCTTGGAGGTATCCTCTCGTGGCCCTGGAGACCACGAGGCCCGCTTTCATGCTCCTCGTCATTTCAGATATCCATTTATATGATAAATTCCGGGTAAATAATGGATTTGAAATTTGGCCTGTTGATTTATGGAGCAAATTACCGGGTAACTTGACAGACATTGGGCCGCTGGATTGTTTCAAGCGTAGGTTAGTCATACATGAATGAGTTGGGATAATAATAGGAGCTGCTTGGTACGGACCAATAGGCTAATTTCTACAGTTTATGTTATTATTATGGTTCGGGAGGACTCAAAGGGTCTTGGCATGGTCCTTGATGCCTCAATGGTCTCTGGTATGGTCCGGGTGTTTCTGGAGGGCGTGTATGTTGTGAGGGAGGGACCTGGGGTCCCCACCAGGTCCAGGGCAGGGGGTGGGGTCCCCACCAGGTCCAGGGCAGGGGGTGGGGTCCCCACCAGGTCCAGGGCAGGGGGTGGGGTCCCCGCCAGGTCCAGGGGAGGGGGTGGGGTCCCCACCAGGTCCAGGGCAGGGGGTGGGGTCCCCACCAGGTCCAGGGCAGGGGGTGGGGTCCCCACCAGGTCCAGGGCAGGGGGTGGGGTCCCCACCAGGTCCAGGGCAGGGGGTGGGGTCCCCACCAGGTCCAGGGCAGGGGGTGGGATCCCCATCAGGTCCAGGGCAGGGGGTGGGGTCCCCACCAGGTCCAGGGCAGGGGGAGGGGTCTCCACCAGGTCCAGGGCAGGGGGTGGGGTCCCCACCAGGTCCAGGGCAGGGGGTGGGGTCCCCACCAGGTCCAGGGCAGGGGGTGGGGTCCCCACCAGGTCCAGGGCAGGGGGTGGGGTCCCCGCCAGGTCCAGGGGAGGGGGTGGGGTCCCCACCAGGTCCAGGGCAGGGGGTGGGGTCCCCACCAGGTCCAGGGCAGGGGGTGGGGTCCCCACCAGGTCCAGGGCAGGGGGTGGGGTCCCCACCAGGTCCAGGGCAGGGGGTGGGGTCCCCACCAGGTCCAGGGCAGGGGGTGGGATCCCCATCAGGTCCAGGGCAGGGGGTGGGGTCCCCACCAGGTCCAGGGCAGGGGGTGGGGTCCCCACCAGGTCCAGGGCAGGGGGTGGGGTCCTCACCAGGTCCAGGGCAGGGGGTGGGGTCCCCACCAGGTCCAGGGCAGGGGGTGGGGTCCTCACCAGGTCCAGGGCAGGGGGTGGGGTCCCCACCAGGTCCAGGGCAGGGGGAGGGGTCCCCACCAGGTCCAGGGCAGGGGGTGGGGTCCCCGCCAGGTCCAGGACAGTGAGTCACGGAAGCGCCAACACCAGTTTTTACCACCTGCAGCTTCACTCATCTCCCAGCCAGCATCCCGGCTTCAGTATCTTCTCTGCTCGGACATTCTCTCACCATATCTGACTATAGTTGTAACCATTACTTTACGTTCTTCTGCTTTTCTGCTTGTCCGTCTGTCACCCAACCACTTGGGCTGGACGGTAGAGCGACGGTCTCGCTTCTTGCAGGTCGGCGTTCAATCCCCGACCGTCCAAGTGGTTGGGCACCATTCCTTTCCCCCGTCCCATCCCAAAATCCTTATCCTGACCCCTTCCCAGTGCTATATAATCGTAATGGCTTGGCGCTTCCCCCTGAAAACTCCCTCGCTTGTGTGTCTGTCTCTCCTGCATGTTCTCCGCCGAGATGGACACATGTCTCACCATGTCATTCCTGTTGTCGGGGGAAGAGGCAGTACTCTTGTTAGCAGGCTGAGAGCTTTCCCATCGTGGGTACAAAGGCACAGTTCTCAGTTAGTTCATTCCTAACGAAGTAATTATATTTGGAGTATGAATTACTGACCTAGGTTAGGTTAGGCTAGGTTAAGTTAGGTTAGGTTAGGATAGCATTGGACGGATAGGGTTGGAGAGGATAGATTTGGATAGGATAGTTTAGATAAGTATCGGTTAGGTTAGTACACAAGAGAGTAAAATACTTATATGTCTGGCTGGCTGGAGGCTGGGTGCACCGTGGGTATTGTTTGTGCTCAAAGGTTAATAATCCCATTCAAGTATATATATATATTTTCAACCACACAGAGAGAGAGAGAGAGAGAGAGAGAGAGAGAGAGAGAGAGAGAGAGAGAGAGAGAGAGAGAGAGAGAGAGAGAGAGAGAGAGAGAGAGAGAGAGAGAGAGAGAGAGAGAGAGAGAGAGAGAGAGAGAGAGAGAGAGAGAGAGAGAGAGAGAGGAGGGGTAGTGAGTGGTATTGGTAATGATGTAGTGGTGATAGTGGCATGGGTGTGTGTGTGTGTGTGTGTATGTGTGTGTGTGACCTTGGAGAGGGGGACCACACCCTTAACCTCCAGTCTTGCCTCACTCATCAACCCGTCGTCTTATAATCCAACTATCCTGACGTCACAATTCTTTGTTGATTCTGGCCTTAATGTTATCGACGGGGATGGCTTCCACAACTTCTTCTTTCACTTCATTCCACTGGTTGTCCACTCCTACGGGGGGGGGGGGGGAGGAGGGGGGGGGGAGGGGGGGAGGAGGGGGGGGAGGGGGGGGGGGTACACCTGTTGCCTTATATTTTTCGACTTTTTTTTGTTTCCAGCTTGTATCCTCTTGTCCTACCTCCTATCAGATTAAAGGGTCTATCCTTGCCCATCTTGTCTATTCACCTTAGTATTTTGTATGTTGTGATCAAATCTCTTGTAACTGATTTATCCCAGAGATCATTAGAAGGAAGGTGAGCCGCCATGCATCGTCAGACAAAACACACAACAGCATTATTACCCGTCCCAACTATTGGAACATTCTATAGGAACTTCTCCATGGCACAAAAACCTGTAACCATTCGAACTCTGCCCTTGATGATGTTGACAAGGGTCAAAGAAACGCATCTCTTAGTGTAGCTGGCTCTACCACTGAGGAAGGGAGAGGCTGGTAGTGTCCTAACATATTATTATTAGTATTAATTCATTATTATTATTTCTTTCTCTTTTGGAGAGTCTCTCAGGTGCTCCCGGCGGGAGATCATTCTGGCCATGAGATGCAAAACGTAGAATAATTTACACTCTGACTCTGGATAGTAAATAAGGTTGACGCCACTGGCCTAGGGGGCGGCAGCAGACGGTGTGTCCAGCATGAGAGAGAGACGGGCATGCCAGGGGTGTGTGGGAGGAAGCAGGGCTCAGGGCGGGGTTCAGGCGTGTCCCTGAATGGGGGTTGATGGGTGGAAGCCACAAGGTGGGGGTATATATAAGGTCCGGGCAGCGGGCATCTTCACCATTCTACTCCTCCCTGGTACAGCAGGAACACCTCCTCCTCCTCACACCCGCCGAGATGATGAAGATTGTGAGTGATGGTGCTCTGGGTTACGTCACTATTTCACTGTCTCGACTCTTGTGCTGCTCTAGAGCCAAAATGGTGTTGTTAGTGGTCAATATGTCAGTGCTTGTGTGTTGTTTAGTGGTCAATATGTCAGTACCTGTGTGTTGTTAGTGGTCAATATGTCAGTATCTGTGTGTTGTTTAGTAGTCAATATGTCACTGTTTGTGCTGTGAGTGGTCAATATCTCAGTACCTGTGTGTTTAGTGGTCAATATATCAGTGCTTGTGTGCTGTGAGTGGTCAATATCTCAGTGGTTGTGTGGTGTTTAGTGGTCATAATCACAGTGACTGTTGACTATTATTGGTCATCAACTCAGGTGTTTGGTGGTCAGTATCTCAGAGTTTATTTGTCAATATCTCAGTGTTTGGGGGTCAATAATTAGCCCAGTAGCTTTGGGCGACTATAGTAACTAAGCGAAGGCTGTGCGGTGGTCAATATCCACGTGTGTGTGTGTGTGTGTGTGTGTGTGTGTGTGTGTGTGTGTGTGTGTGTGTGTGTGTGTGTGTGTGTGTGTGTGTGTGTGTGTGTGTGTGTGTGTGTGTGTATTCACCTAGTTGTGTTAGCGGGGGTTGAGCTTTGCTCTTTCGGCCCGCCTCTCAACTGTCAATCAACTGTTTACTGTGTGTGTGTGTGTGTGTGTGTGTGGGGGGGGGGATTATGGCTGTCAATAACTTGGGAAATGGCCGTTTGAATTACGTGAAGAACAATAACGCGTTTTGAACTCAAGTGACAGAAAATGGTGAGTATTTTGTGACGAGGAGAAACCCATATACTTGACCCATTAGTTTGGGCCAAGATCCTGTGGACTAATCTAACAGGGAAATGTCACAGTGGCTACTGTTGTTATAAGTACTGTTTATGTCAGGTGTGTGGGCTCGTGGGTCGGAGCTTTACAGGTGTTTGAGTGAGAGAGAGTTGTTACATTTACGTGTGACTGATTGATTGGTTGATGAAGATTAAGCCACCCCAGAGGTGGCACGGGTGTGGATAGCCCCGTAAGTGGTAGATTTTTTGGAGTGAATGTGATCTTTGGTCGTGTACATGTGACTAGATGGGGGATAGTCGGTCCTGTGCCCAGTCCTGTCTCGCAGACCTACCCCCACACATACCCTCCCCCCTCTACACCCCCCCCCCAACACACACACCCTCCCCATCTACACCCCCCCCGACACACACACCCTCCTCATCTCTTCCAACGGGCAAGCTTCACGTCCCGCCCCTTCTACACCGTCCTCATCAGTGTGTGAATGTCCCCGACCACCCTCAGACTCTCCATAAACTAACCAGTCATCATGCAAAGTTGCGTGAGACTAGCCCCAAGCGTCCGGCTGCCAGCCTTCCGCAGACATACATTCTCTTTTGTAAATAGATGACGTACCCAGCGGTGCCCGGGTCTCTATCTCCGTCCCTCCCTTCCTCCCACCCTTCCAATATCTTTCACTTTCCGTCTCCCTCCCCCTCTTCCTTTAACCTTCCCGTCCTCTCCTTCAGTGGGAAAAACACGCTGGAGTAACGTTGAATAAACGTTATCAACGTTGATTTGATGTCGATCACAGGAGTAAAATCGGTTGGTAAACACTCTACGGACAATCAAACCCACATATCAGTCTTGATAGGAATTGTCGTTGCTGCATTAGGAGTCCCTCCTACCTAGACAGTGGCACGGGGACCAGCCCCAACACCTCCAGGATACTCGGTATGCAGTCACAGTTCACCGTGGAAAGTTGCGCGAGGCTAACCACAACAGTCTGGCCGCCAACCTCCAACAAAGTGACAAACAAATAAGACATTTTCTTTCATAGATTTAGACTTTCATGACTTTTTTGGGGGAGTGCCAGAGGTCCATGATAACATCACGGCCTAACACTTGTGTTGTCTTTGTGCCTGCAGGTGGTGCTGGCACTCGTGCTGACGGCAGCCTCTGCCGCAACGGTCTACCATGCTGCCGTCCCATTCCATGGCCTGCCATTCGCCGGCCTGCCATACACCGGCCTGCCATTCGCTGGCGTGCCATACGCCGCCGCCCCCGGCCTGACCTACACCGCCGCCGCCCCTGCCCTGACCTACGCCGCCGCCGCCCCTGCCCTGACCTACGCCGCCGCCCCCGCCCTGGTAGCCCCGGCACCTTACAGCGTCCAGACCGGCGTGAAGACCGAGGTGGCGGTGGAGCCCGTAGAGCAGCACGGCTACGTTGTCAAGTACTAGACCCCCGCCACACACCGGAGCCTCAACACCCACCACGCCAGCCATGACGCTACAGGCAAGCAACAACGCCCGCGGCTTCCCACGCCAACACCACGGCCGCAAGCACGACATCTACTGGGCCTAACGTCTCGCCCATGAAGCCGGAAAGGACGCCCGCGCCGGCACAACACGCCCGTGCCCCGACTAGTGCCCCGCCCACACCTGTACCCGGGCGGGGTAGAGTCCGGGGCGCGCACTTCATCTCTCCTCCCACGCCAGGATCCTAAATTTCTTCTGTACTTAGCTCTAAATATATTTACAAAAAGGCTCAAATGTTTAATTTCCTCAGAACTGTTAAGCAGCGTCCACTCTACTCAACCCGGTCACAGTCTTGTGGTATAGATCACTACTGCTCACTTGTATGACTATGTATGTATACTGTGTCTCATCTCGAAGCTCACGGTGCTTGCGGTGTTATCTGGTGCTCTTCCTCAGGAGAAGTTTCTAAGAAAGATTCATAATGGGAGAACACCCCCCTCCCCTCCCCTCCCCCCCGCAGTCTTCAATTCTGTATATACTTACAAGGGAAGTCACATTACATCTATAGTACCCTGACCAACCTGTCCTCAGGCTCGGCTCGTCATAGCTGAGTTTCATCCCAGAGAAGAATTCAGAAAATTGAACCTAAACTTGCTCTTCATTTAAAGTAGGAATTTTATCAAATAAAAATTAATAATATTATATGTTTGCGTATGGTGAAGATATCTCAGCGTTTTAATGTTTTAATATTTTAATTTAATCTTAGTAATCTACGCTCACTTAGGAGTAGGTTAGGTTAGGTGTTTAGGTTCTGTTGGCGATTATTTGCAATTGAAGTACGTGGGTGAAGCATTTACAGCGTTGTGGTTCGAATATTGGTCACCAGCGAAGCACTGTTCAAGCAATGTTCGAACGTCATCAGTTGTAAGTAATGTGTAAACCATTTTTCATTCATAAACAGACGGTTTGGCGGCTGGATTAACGAGCATTTGGTATTTATTGATGAGGACGGGCTGCGCAACTGATGACGTTCAAACATTTCCCGAACAGTGCTTCGCTGACGATCTCTGTTCGAACCACAGCGCTGTAAATGCTTCACCCACGTACTACAAATACAAATAATCGCCAACAGAACCTAAACACCTAACCTACGCCTATCTATACACAGAACTATAATAAATAATAACGTAAATTTATATATACGAACACCCTATTTTTTATATACAGCATGTTAAAATTGATGAATGCGTTTAGGGGAACGGCCGCCGCTTTAACGAGCTTGGCCTGAGGACAAGAACGTTGGTGTCGCACCTCTCAAAATGCTTCACCCACGTACCAGAAATACACATATTTACCCGAGCACCTTCCCTAACATCAGTTCTAGCTCCACTCCTGTGCCAGAGAAGTCCACTACGGGCTCGCCATAGCCCGTGCTACTTGCACCTTTTGGTTCCCAGTAGCTGAATCTAAAACAACAACAACAACAACCTTCCCTAACCTACGCCTAACTATATATTAAAAACGAAGAATGTGTCATGGGGTTGAGCCCCCGCTTGGATGAGCCTGGCGTGAGCACAGGTTAATGAATTGGCCCGTTACACTCAACCTAGTGAGCAAAATACTAAGATCACTCGAGCAACTGTGATTAGTAGCTGACATAAACGCGCTACTATAACGTACAAACGACAAACAAGTTTCAGCGTTGATAAATGCAACATTAGGGTATGCTGTACCAGCATGGAACCCCACCTGACCAAGCACCCCATATATAATGAGGACCATAAGATATCGATCCCATAGGAGACATCTCCCGTCACGTAGGGTGCAGTCGCACCACCACAGACCTCCAGTATCAGCTCTTAATACTGGTAATGGCTCAACACGGCCACCACTTACGGGCTATTCATGCCCGTGCCACCTTTTGGGTGGCTTAATCTTCTTCAATCTTCTATCGATCCTACGGGCTCACCATAGCCCGTGCTACTTGGAACTTTATCTTCCTTGTAGCTGAATATAACAACAACAGCTATCGATCCACATGCTCACCGTAGCCCGTGCTACATGGACATTTCGTTGAGTAGCTAAATCTAAACCAACAACAACAGCTATCGATCACGTTACACGACCAAAGATCACATTCACTCCAAAAAATCTATCACTTACGGGCTATTGGTATTTGGATTCGCTCGCTGACCACCAGGGGATCAAGACGTGCTCACCTGACCTGCCAGTTGTTGCCTGGTGTTGCGTGGAGGCGGGTGTGGGTTGTGGTGCGGTGCGCCCGCTGGCCGGAGGACCAGGCTGGCGGTATGGTTGTTGGTGGTGTTTCCCGCGTCAGGCGGGTTGACACGGCGTGCCTCGACTTTTCTGGGGCTGTAGACTGGCCGATAGTGGAAATTGCGGTCATCGATGAGCTCAAAGTAGACGTTCAGGATTTGTTAGGGCTGGAAAAGATCTCTCCTACTCGGGTGGCGTTGTCCTTCCACTCGAGTCTGTTGTACCGGGAGTTTGTGGCGCGCTGGGACGGCCGCACGGTTTCAATCTCTACCTCGGCTGTGTCTGTAGATGTTTCGGATCCCTGGGGGGCCGTGCAATATGTGAGCATTCATGGTGTGCCGGTGGCTTTCCCCGCAGACGAGCTGAGGGCGGTGTTTGCAAGGTATGGGGTGGTAGTGTTTCACCGCTTCAACACTTTGAGTGCGGGCCGGCTGCGCGGGCTACGTACGGGCACTCGTACGCTTGTTATGCGGGGGTTACTTCGCCTGTTCCGTCCAGACTTTTGTATCGTGGGCTCTCGCTCCGGGTCTTTTATCAGGGCCAGACACGGACCTGTTTCCGGTGTGGTGCTGAGGGCCATGTGGAAGCCGGCTGTGACGCTCCTCGTGCTGAGGCTCCCTCGTTTTTTTTTTGGACGGTGACTTTCCCTGCGTGGATGATCGTAGAGCTTCCTCGTCGCCTACACGCTCTGACCTGGTGCCTGGTGTGGTTCCTGCGGCGGTTTCGGCGGGGGCTCCCTCTGGCCCTGCTTGGTCTGGCCCTGATAAGTCTGACACACCGGTATGCTCTGTGGACCTGGGGGCTCCTGCCTCGGGTATTCTCCATTCGGTGGTTGCGGAGGTGCATCCGCGGCCGGTTGCTTCCGTGCGGTCCTTGGATGCTGCTGGTGGGGTGGTGCCTGCCTCTCCTGCCGCCGGTGTCTGTTTCCCGGGGCTGCCGGGGTTGTGGTGAGTGTGCCCTCTGCCTCTTCCCCGCCCTCTGTCTCTGCATCGACTCCCTCGTCGCCTTCGGTGGGCTCCTCGCCCCCTGGTCCGTCTTCGCCTGCGCCTGCCGTGTCGTCCGTGATGGATGCCCCCCTGTGTGCTGGAGTGTGCTCTCCCGCCGGCTGGGCCTGCTCCTTCTCCGTCTTCAGTCTCCGGGCGTGGTGGTGGACTTGTGCCCCGTGCTGTGGAGGCTTCTGTTCTGCGTGGGCGTGCTGCCTCGGCTATGGGGTCGCCCGCGACGGGTTCTTCTGGGGCGCCCCTTGCTGGGGGCCATAGTTCCGACGATCAGCAGCCTCATGTTAAGCGCCGTCGTTCAGCTCGGGCTGCGTCGCCTCGACGGTTGTGGGCGGAGGGCCGTGATGCATTGGAGGATGAGGGCGTGGACGTCGCCGTGGTGTCTTCCGTGTTGGAAGTTGTGCCCCCTGCCGGTGGCTCCCCTTCGTGGGCGGTTGCCCCTGGTGATCGGGACCTGGTGGTCGTGTTATCTAAGGATGGACGTCGGGGAGCTTCAGCCCATGTTCCGGTTGGCGGGGGCCCTGAGGCTCCGGTGGAAGGCTCCTCCGTGGGGCTTGGTGCAGTGGCTGGTGTCGATCGCTGTGCGCGCCCTGGGGTCCAGGCTGATGTGCGGCCGGTGGGTCGCGACGGGTTGGGGGTGTCCTGAGGTTGTCTCGATGGCGCCCTCTGTTGGCGTCCTTGGATGTTCGGGGTTTGGATGCTCTTGGGGTCCAGTTGGGCCTGTTGGATGTTCTGCGGGAGCAACGTGTGGATGTGGCTCTCGTTCAAGAGCATAATGTTCATGATGTGTCCGTGTTGCAGTGTTTGAGTGTGCATTGTGTGGTTGCTGTGGCTCTGATGTGGTTGCTCCTGTGGTGGTGTGTTTGGTTTGGTGTGTGTGTGTGGGTATGCTTCTTTCCTGGCTCCTGCGTGGGCCAATGCTTTTGCCCTGTGTGGGTTGTTTACACTGTTTGTTTCCCCTATTTTGTACTTTCTGGTGTGAGTATTTGTTGTGCATGTGTCACTGTATATTGCTGTTAGTCCCTGTTTGTTTCTTGGGGTCTGTATGTTACTGTGCCTGCGCCTTGGGCGTCTTTTTTATGTTTTTTTTTTATGTTAAGTATTTCGTGTGCCATGTGCTTTTGCCTTGTGATGTTTTTGTGGTTGTGTGCGTCGTGTGTGCGTCGTGTGTGCGCGTGTGTGCGTCGTGTGTAGTAGTAGGGAGTAAGAGCCACAGACGATTTTTTTTTTTGGGGAGAGGACCCCTGTGGACTGTAAGAGCCACAGACGATTTTTTTTTCTGGGAGAAAAATCGTCTGTGGCTCTTAGGGGTTTTCAGGCAAATTTGGGGAGTCACAGATTTGGAAGTAAGGAATTCTTATGAGAAAAATAATTTCCGAGATCTTAGAAGTTTGTTAATCATTCTTATGATGAAAATAAGTAGGAAAATCTTAAAGAAAAGTTTTAGAAAAAATCGTGTTTGTGTCACAGCATTTCCAGGTAAACTCTATGGACAACCTTTGCCCGTTTTCAATCACACATTTGTAAAAGGACCATTTTCAGAGAATATTGTCCTAGATGTTTTGTTAAGGAAAACAGACAACTTATCCATAACATTTAGTTTTATATCCATTTACGGCTATTTCGCCTGTAATCTGTGAAAACTTGTCAGAGTCCATTTTATACCCAATTTTCGGCAGAGTCCAGTTTATGCTCAAATTCGCCAGAGTCTACTTTGAGAGCAAAATTAGTCAGAGACAGTTTTAAGCTCATATTTCATCAGAGTCCAATTATCAACAGAAATTCACCAGAGTCTACTTTGAGAGCAAAATTAGTCAGAGACAGTATTTAGCTCATATTTCATCAGAGTCCAATTTATACCTAAAAATGAACAGAGTCTACTTTGAGAGCAATATTAGTCAGAGACAGTTTTAAGCTCATATTTCATCAGAGTCCAATTATCAACAGAAATTCGCCAGAGTCTACTTTGAGAGCAAATTTCATCAGTGTCCTGTAATCTGTGAAAATTTGACAG